GATCAACTCGACCTGGGTAAGACCACACTCTCAGCGTAAAATGCTTTACACTGCTGTGCTTCGTATGGTGAGAACCAGAGACCCTTTTTACTGGAAACGAGGCATTCCATCTTAGTCCTCTTTTTATTTGTAATTGAAGATGAGGATAGATGTAGTTTCTATGGACCACAGCATTCATGTACACATTTGTCATACTTTTTCTATAAAACAAAAGAAGACAAAAACACAGATATCATAAAGATGTTTTGCAATTACTATTTAAAAGTGTACATTGCTGAGATTTTAAAATAAAACCGTGTAGAAGTTATGTCAAATGTAAATATTTTGAATGAAATGTAAATTATTTAGGTTGATTATTTGTTAAGTAACGTTGGTAACACAATTGAAACATTGTTTTTTACATTGAGTTATATGTACTACGTACTAGAGAAGCCATTCCAAACAAAAATTGTGTCCTACTCTATGTCTTCGCGCATGCGCGGGAGTAGTAGTCGCGCATGCGCGAAGACTTTAATTTGATATAAGATAAGATATTAACATAAAATAAATATAAGAGTTTAATATAAAATATCTTAATTTAATCTAAACAAACATATTTTATTTCTAAATAAAATGTAATAATAATAATTATTTTATGGAATAATTATTGTATGTAGGGATTGCACTACAGTTCAGTTGAACATAGTCAATGTTCGGAATGGCGTCTCTAGTAGGTAGTACATATAACTCAATGGTTTTTTTATTTATACCCCTTGTCATTTATTTTAATCACGATCTTTTTGTTACTTATTACTTCTTTTTTTATATCTTCAACCCCTTTAAGTATACTAATAAAAATGTGTATCTACCATTGTAAAATAGATTTGCCTTCAAAGCTTGGAAGACGGATAAGCGATAGCAATACCAAGCATTTCGCTCCTTTTTTTTAAACGTTAACTCCACATTAGGATTTCTCCTGTATCTTGGCGGCAGTATAAATACATAAATTTCATAAGGACAAACATTCAGACTCGGAACAATTATTTGTAGGCCATACCAATAATTGTTACGTTTGCGCCACGATGCCGTCCTCTGATACTGCTCCCCGTCACCCGTCACCGCACTCGATATTTTTTATTCTTATTAATATTTTCAAATCAACACCGGTATAACTGTTCTCATTTATTCACAAAAATTTACATTTTAAAGCTCTTCTCTACATAATCTTTATATAATATACTCCTACCTATGTATGTCCGTTATAGACTTTGAAACCATCCAACCGATGTGCCCTAAACCGGTTTTATTAGGAAAGCAATAAGAAGGTTTCACTAAAACCATACTAAATGTATGGTTTTAGTGGTCTGAATCTGAGTGGCACTATATAAAAAGTTAATAAATGAAACAAAAATCCTTTTTTTTTCCAACAAATAAACAAAATGTATTTCTTTTTTCGTAGTAGCGCACGCCGGGTATCCGTTAGTGTAATTGAAATTTAATGGGCTAAAGTTCATAGTAATATTAATTGACTTCAAGAGGTATAATTAGTAAGTAATAATAGATCCCAAGCTACAAGCGGTACGTAGACGATATTTTTTTTTAAGTTTACTTAGTTCCACAAACTCGAAAATACGAGTACTATCCACAATGGAGTTAGAGTTGGAGCAAACAATTCTTTAGCTTTCCTAGATGTTTTAGTTTTAGTAGTAGTTTTAGTCATCCGAAATCCTGATAACACACACACTGTGCGTATAGGAAACAGACCCATACTAACCGATTTTTAAATGGTGAATCGCACCATCATCCATCACATTTAGCTACCGTGGGAAAATCTTTGTTTCAGAGAGCACGAGGGATCTGTGACAGAAAACATCTGGCCGCCGAGCTTCAGCACGTCGAGCAAGTATTGCAAGACAACAAACTTCGGGGCCCGCGTCTACGTCGCAGTGACTGAGTGAAGCCGGTCACAGTAGAGCGTGTACCTGCTTTAGTACCCTATGTCAGAGGAGTCACATACAAGTTTGGCTACATCTTGAAGCGCGCTTCCATTAAAACATACTTCAAGCCGCCGAAGAAGATTAGTCAATTTTTATCATCCGTCAAGATTTATATCCCTTTAAAAGATGCAGGAGTGTACAGGCTGGATTGTGAATGTGGTAGGACAAACAAAAAAATCTATAAAAACCCGCGTGAACGCGAAAAACGGGCGTTCCGGGAAGTCTGCAGTGTGTGAACATGTTTAAGATCGTCCCCGCCATTACATTTGATAGACCACAAATGCTCGCAAAAGAACACCGATTCCTACCAAGGATGATTCACGAGGCTATTGAAATTAAAAATCAAATCCAGTCATTAAGAGAGGTTATGGTAGAGCGTGTGAATCTCACACTACCGGCAGTCTCCGAATGGGGCGATGTCAATATCGTGAGATTTAACGCCTTCAAAACACAAGCGTGTCTTTTCACCGCTAAAAGGAGCCCGCTCATATTGGCTCCTACTTTCCGGAATGTATCCTTGGAGTACACTGACCGCCTTCAGTTGTTAGGGGTTGAATTTTCTCTAAAGCTCAACTATGGGCGGTATATTGAGTCTAGAGCCAAAGCAGCCTCAAGGAAACTTAGTGTTCTTGCAAGGGTGCGGCGGTATTTCACTCCGGGTTAGCTACTAACCTTATATAAAGCGCAAGTCCAGTCGTGCATGGAGTACTGCTGTCACATATGGTGCTGCAAAATGCCACCTGGCAGCTTTGGACTCAGTGAAAAGACGTGATAAGAGGCTCATTGGTGACTTTGATTTGGATGAAGCCAATCTTGTCAGCCCCGAGCACAGGCGCAGAGTAGCCAGTCTCTCGGTATTCTATAGGATGAATTTCGGTGAGTGTGCGCAGAAATTACAAGCTTTAATTCCTCCCTCTCCTTTCCACCATCGGATAACCAGGCGGTCGGCGAGTTTTCGCCGCTTTGTTATCGATATTCCACGCATTAGGACCAAGAGATTTGCTTCGTCTTATGTAATGCGTACAGAAAAGTAGTGGAATAATTTGCCGGCGAATACAATGTGGGCGTCTTCAAGGCAAAAGTGAATAGGTTTTTGTTACTTAGACAGTGCGTAGTACCATCTAGGGCTGCATCACAACTTCCACCAGGTGGGATTGTGGTCAAGCACTGACTTATGATAAGTAAAACAAACATCCTAATTTCAATAGAGAAGATGGATGTGTGCTGCCATCTGCTTGGGATCCTATAATTAATAAAATTAAATCCAAACCCAAGCATACCACTGCAAGACTTCAAGATACTGTAAGCTCACTCTGCGTAGATCGAACCAAAAATTAATATTCAAGAACTGAAGGTAGCCGGGCTAACTATGATATCGGGATGTCAAACACCTCAGTCCCCCCCCCCCCCCCCGTCACCAGGGGTACTGTAAAGCACCCGAAATTTCGGTAATAAAAACTTAAACACGATAAAATCCGTAAAAATTAGTTTTATTTGAGTAATTCTCTCATGTTTTGCCGACTTTAAAAATAGGAAAATGTTTACAATTTGACTGTTTGTTCTTTTTGTTGTATGTATCTTTGTCACTTGTAAACTGATTTTTATGTTTCTTTTTTTTTATTAAATAGGTTATACTACAGTGATGGTGCCAAATAAATTTGAAGAAAAAGTTCTACCCCTAAGGGTAGGAAAATGGGGGGGTGAAGTTTATAATGTACTAAATAATACTATTTAGACTACATTGAAATTGTGAGATCGTGATATTAGGCAAAACAAAAGGATTAAAAAAGTACTGTTATCGTTACAGCCTATTAAATTCCACTGCTGAACATAGACCTCCCCTATAGGTTGCCTCATAGGGGAGATGTTTGCCATAGTTTCCACGCACACTTTGCAAGTCGCGCCTGCAACCGCTGCTGCCGATCTCAGTTGATGATGATGATGATGATGATGATGATAGGTTCATAATTATCAATTAAATGAAGACTTTTCATATCAATATATTTAGCCAGCCAATCTTATTTGTATTTGTCTTTTACAACTGCATGAAATGAGTGTCAGTATTTGTTATTTGCCTGTTCGGCGATAGTTGGTAAATATTATTTATATTATATATAAATATTATTTATAACCTAAATTGTATAGTCCCCTCGAGAAAAATTTAAAGAAATGATCAAATTAACTTTGGCATTGCAATATATTTATGAAAATGTGTGTAATGTTTGTACATAAAAACATAAATAGCTTTAATAAGAATAAGGACGTTCATACCTTAAACACTAGGAACAAACATAAGCTTGTAATGCCAGTTACCAGACTCCACAGAATTAGTAATTCATTTATGGAGCAATGTAATACATTTTTACAACAAAATCCAAGAACATTTTCAAAGTTTGTCAATAAACAAATTTAAAAGTTTTATTAAAGAAAAACTGTGCAAAAGGGTTATTATAATATCAAGGAGTACATGAATGAAAATAACCCTTGGGAATAAGGTGATCGCCACCATGCTGGTTCTATGAAAAATCATTTAAAAAATGTATAAACAAAATTATTGCTAAGTGAAATTATGTTTAAAAAAAGTCCCGCTGGGTTTCTTGCTGGTTCTTCCACACAGAGGTAATTTCCGAACCAGTGGTAACTAAAAAATTACTTTCAATAAGTATTATGTAATAATCAATATTGAATAAAAATCATTCTATTCTTTCTATTCTATGAAAATGTCTCGTAATCGCGACTGTCGCTTATGTATCGCAATTTGTGTGACGGGTATCGCTTTTCGCTGTAAGCACAGAGTTTTGTGGTGAGAGGCTCGAGAGGCTCAAACTCAAGCAAGAGAATCGACGGGTGATCCGAAGCGGCAGCCACCTATCAGCAAAAATAATTAGCGGTTCGCAATTTGTAACGAGTTTAGAAACTCCCCTTTTTATATCTACTGTCAGCGCACAGACTTTAATGATGAATAAACATTTGTTTATACGAAATTTAGATAACATTATTTTATATTAACTTAAAAAAAATTACCTTACAATTTCCCTGGATGCATATGGCACGGAAGCCGGGTTTAGTGCAAGGCGTGCCATCGGCGACTAGAGCGAGCGATGCATAAAATTGTTGTCCAATCGGCCTGCAGTTTAGCAAACATGGCGAATCACCTGGTAAAAAAGAACTGTTACTGATTAAGAGTATAATTAAATTATCAAATAGGGTAATTTGTTTGTGCCAGTAACTTAAAAAGTGCATAAAATACATGGAAAAATCACTTTTGTAGTATTAATGTCGCTCATGCATAGATTTAAAGGCTTGTTAATTATTATTATTATTTTCCACTTTTTATAGCTTATCTTTTCACTATTTTGATCAGTCCCTATTAGTTCCGAATCCTGACTTTTGGACGTAGACTCTGCCATTTTGATAAAATGGCAGAGCCGTAATCGCTACGCTTGTCAGACAGATGAAAGACTGCAATGTGTGCATGAAAGCAACATTTTTTTGTTTATTCGTTTTAAATCCGATTATTTGAATTTAACTTAAACTTTTGAATAAAACTATAAGAGCACTTTAACATTTAAACTTTGGAAAATATTAGATTCAATCTTTGCAGCGGCACCCTATCTTTCGTATATTCCAACATGAACCTAATTGGCCAATTGTTAATCATAAACCGTCTTATTACTTTAAGGGCTTATTTACTATAAGGGCGATAGTAAAAGTTATCCGTCGAATAAATTATAACCTGACTATATATAAAAGTGAACCGTTTTATTTTCGTAACTGTTATTTTTTATTTGTTTATGTTTTATTTTATTCTATTTATATCTGATGATTGAAAAATCAGCCCTAAGTAGTTTATAACAAGTCTCAGAATAAAACTATAATCTGTTTCACCAAAAGAGTCCCACAAAAATATATGAACTATAATATTAAATTGAAAATTTGGAAAACCCCTGAAACAAGAGCTGATGATCTACAAACGACTGGAAAGATTTTTTAAATCATAGCTAAGAAAACTCTCGATGAAGTCACCTTTCAACACAGACAGGCACACAGACAGACAGACAGACAGAAACGCAGCGGTGAAACTTATAACACCCCACTTTTTGCGTCGGGGGTTAAAAATTATTAAGTCTTTTCATCGCCGCTGGTGATAAGAGGACTGGTTCTTTTCTCGCTTAAAATATAGCCATAAAACAAGGAAACAGAGCCAGCACTATACCGCGGAGATTACGATAATTTAAGTTTTTATTTCTTTATTGTGTTAACTACCCAATAAATATTGTATACTAGCGATCCGCCCCGTCTTCGCACGGGTGATTCCTGGATCTCGATAACAGTGCAACCTACCAGGTCCAATTGTAAATCTAAACCACCCATCGATCCACTAAAACACACAAAAAAATTTATCAATATCGGTCCAGTCATTTTTGAGTTTTTGCAAGACTAACGGACAGCATTGATTTTTATATATAGAGATGAAAGAACAAAAGAAATGTAGAGTATGGAATTTGACAGCGAATGTAAGATTTTGCGAAGACTGGGATGCTACGGCTAGCTTTATTAGAAAGACTCTTGTTGAGTCATACATAGTTCAAACCCAAGATTACCAATAAACAACTTTTTGTAATAGTAAGGAAAAACTCGAATAATTTCTAGACAAATTACAACTTACTTGTAACCTTATTTCTAGCATTAATAAAACAAATAGCATGCAGCGGAGAAGGCAGCGCTAAAATTCTTTTGAAAAAAGGAAAGGAAAATCTTTTTAGAGAATCCCTTAACCCAGCAAGACGGTGACGGTGCTGTCTCAAGACGTCAAAACGATACAAAAACTTTAGGTTTATGTCACCTTAGAAGCACTTGTTTCATTGTTTCCATTTTAAAGTGTAAAGCATAGTCGCAGATATGTGATAATCAAAATCATTACAATTTTAAAATGCCCTTAAAACCTTTATATAGATAAACGATAAGACAAGAGCAGAGTCCACTTGCAATTAGGTTCCTCCGAAAACTCCGTATTTTGCTTAGTTGAAGTAAAATTAAAAGAATATTGATATGTAATGTTATTTACATTTCCAATTTTCTTAAAAACAAAAAATATAAATCAACATAAATTTTAAATATAGGACACCAACTGTCTTTAATTTATTATCTGTACTTTTAATTGCCTATCTTCTAATATTTAGTAAAATAGAAGATTATTTTTAAGTTTCTTGTCCACAATAAGTACGAAGGGAGGTTATCGTTACTCGTTAATAAACCAAACTGCCGTCATTTGTAACTTATAAATTTTATAGACATTTCATGAACACGTTTTATTACTTAATAGTTACTCTAATCATATTGTAAAAGATGCTTTAATGATGGCCATTTCAATAGCTGATGATTTGAACGAAACAAGATCAAAACTTAAACGCACTTTATACAAACAGTTCCGTTACCGTTGTGATTGGATAGATGTAATAGAATTTAATGGTTCTGAACACATGGTTATTGAAGTAGATCGAACTAATAAATTACTGAGCATCTTTAATTAATGATCTAAGTTATTCTGTGTTAATAAAATACAGTCCGATCTAAAAATAATAATTCACATGTAAGTATTAACTCTTAAAACTAATCGTTGTGAATTTTGTTACAAAGCTGGGATATTTCCCATTTATTAGGGTTCCGTACCTCGAGAGGCCCCTTATAGGATCACTTTGTTGTCCGTCTGTCTGTCTGTCAAGACCCCTTTTTCTCAGGAACGCGTGGAGGTATCAAGCTGAAATTCATATCAAATACTCAAGTCTACTGTCCCTTAGAGCTGTGAAAAAATCAAACTTCTAAGCCAACGCAATCAAAAGATACAGCCGTTTATGCCGCAAATTTTCGACATTTGCAAGGGAATCAAAACCTACAGGGTACACTCCAGTGAACTTAGAATCTTAAAATTTGGTACGAAGCAACGTTTTATAGCACAGATAAAGGAAAAATTGCGAAAAGCATAAATTTTCAGTTACGTCATATAATAAAAATATTTTTAATAATTTTAAACTTATATACCTACGGATTTGTTCGGAATCCTCGGTGCGCGAGTCCTGACATGAGTGTTAGCGATGTAATAGAATATTTATACACTCCAAATATCCCGTAGGTATCGTAAGAGGCGACTATGTTTAATGCCAAAATGAGCTAATGGCTTCCGATAGACGGTGGTAACCACCTCGTATATACCAGATAAGGATAGTGAGGATATCCACAGTAGAATCAGAGTAACCTACATAGCCCAACAAATAACTAAGCTGAAGTGACAATGGGCTATAGAGCTCAAAGAACCGACAACTGGTGGGGAGGAACAGTTTCGTGTGGTGGGCTCGTACCAATAAGAAGAGTGAAGGGCGGGCACTCACTAGATGGGGTGACAACCTGGTAAAAGATACATGGAATTCAATAGATGCAGGTGGCTCAAGGCCGTGCTACAAACATTCCTTGAGGGAGACCTACGTTCAGCACTGCACTTGTGAAAGGCTGTAATGATGATGATGATATACCAAATATAAATTACCTAGGTCAACGAGATGTAGCAGCATTAAAGATGTGAGATTTGTTTCTAGTACTTCAATTACCAATGTGCCTACTAAGCGTTGTAATTATGTGAAATCCTACCTACCAAGAATGCGATCTATATCTAGCAATAGACTGTAAAGGGGTAATGAAGAAATAGTGTTACTTTGAGTTTCATTTTTAATACTAATTTATTCAGTTCATTTTAGTACAGTTTCGGTTACAGTTTACAGTTTACAGTTAGTTACAGTTTCATTTTAGTTTTGGATGGATAGATTTTAAAGCGTAATCCTTCTTTCTTAATATGTATTATTATTAGCTAATTAATTAAAGGACATCTTAAACGAATTCATTAACCTATGAAATTTAAGCAAGTGTCGGCAGGTGAAACAATCTCTCTGTCTGATATAACGAGACCTATCTCACCTACTATTAAACTAATATTCTTTATATAAATTGAAAACGGAGCAGTGCCTCCTATACCACGTGTCTATTTTATAATAAAATCGCGCTTTATCCACTTAAAAACCGACTTATTATGATAAATTCTCTTAAATTGAATAGAAAACAAATAGTCTTCTATTCGATTTGGAAGAATTTTGGGTTAACAATACCGACGATAACAATGTCTTATGTCGATATTTTAATTTTAATTTGGTGTCTACTGTTGACTAAAATAAGTCATCAGTAATACGAGTATATTACCGTGTAGTGGCGGTGTAAGAATAACCACTACCCCATATCATCCCGTAGGTGTCGTAAGAAGCGATAGAGGGAAACACATCAGGAGATAGGCGGCAGCGTCTTCCTAATAACACCTAAAAATAAAAATAAAACTGCGGTTGCCAATGCGTGGCAACTATGGCTAAATCCCCCTGTCAGACAATCTATGGGGGAGGCCTATGTTCAGCAGTGGACTTTTATGGCTGTAATGGATGGATGGACGGAATAGGTATATTTAAAGGAGCGCTAGCCACTTCACATAAATGTTATGTTTGGTATATTACATAAATGTTATATTTGCACTTTATGAAGTGCAAATATAACATTTATAAAGTGCAAATATAACATTTATGTAATATACCAATGCTTAATATTTTTTTAACATTCTAACTAATAATTACAATATGATTTAAATATTTACAACTTTGTTGTGTAACAAACTAGAAAATATTATATCTTCTAATTAATTCAGCGAATTACGAATTTAGTACATTACATCAAACTCGTTAAAACAGCAATCAGAAACATATTATGCCTACAATTAATTACCTTTTCCTACCGTGTGTGTGACTTATATTAATAACACTAGTCACCAGTTAATTTGACTGACAATTTTAAATGATTTTACTATCTTACAACTAAATAAGGTAATGCCAGCATCTTGAGATTACACAATTTATCTAAAAAGCAACTTAAAATTCTCGGATACTGTATATGGGCGACGCATCAGCATTCGATAAGTCACAGCGGCATCATTAATCTCACTTAACCCTTATGTTCACTAATGTACGTCTTATCGTTTGGCTACGGTGATACCTTCTGTAGTTTGTTTAGGAACATCTTTATACCATAAACATAAACATGTAAAAATATCAATATATTTTATTTGTATATTCTCAATATGCGAGTCAAACTGTAGTTGAATACTGATATTCGCAATCTTTGTGCGGTAAGCAAACGTGCACGCGGTTGTCTGGCATCACAATGATACTTTAGCCTTAGCTTTAGCTTAGGTATTTTCATGCACTTCCTGCACTGCAGTACGGGTTATAATAGAAAACGCAATATTTTGTAATTATTACACCAGGCTACATAAGAAATCTAGATCAGTACGTTATATTCTGAACGAGTTAGACTTGCTTTTCCGAGTTAAATTTCTCAAGAATGTAGGACGTATAATGTACGATGATGACAAACGACGAATTAAAAATATTTTAATCCGCGACTTACCGCGTGTTATTTTTAAAGGAATTTAACTGCTTTAAGTTACAAAACCAAAGAGAATTAAAAACTCCACCTGAAAGAATTTGTCAGTTTTAAGAAACTGATAATTAAAATGCTTACCGATATCAATGAGGGTATATAATACAGGGCAGCTTGTGGCGAGTTCTTAGTCAATAACATAAACGAATGAAGTTTGTAATTTTTAGAAATTTCAACCTTTTAGCAACCTTTGGCTTGCATTGGTCGGCCTAGAGTTTTATGCTGTAAAGGAAGTGTAAACTGCAATAACGCCAAGAGAATGCTGACTGTTATCTTAAAACCGTAAACTCACATGCCTACACCCTTAATATGTTGTCTCTCGCAGTCACTAAGACAGCACTATGCAGAGCTTATTTAGTAAACGGCGATTCACTACCCACCACCTTTAATCTATTAAGACATGATTATGGTAGTTGTCCAAGTCTCTGTTATATTCTCGGGCTCTTCTTTTGATACCTTTTCATTATGGATGCGGGAAAGAGCCGTGATGGACACCACGTTTCAAAGAGAAGCGAAATTACCCAAAAAGCATCTTTGTGTTAGATCCATGTGTCCACGTAAGCTTGTTAAATGACCGGGCCCTGTCGGAACCGAGCCAAAGAAATGGAGAAAAATAATATGTCCTCCAAACCGAGTTGAATGCAGTGGAGATGCGATCTCTTCGTAAAATGTGCGGCGTTACCATGGCCGACCGAAAGCGAAACGAAGAGATTCGCAATATGGCAGGTTTGAAAGATGACCTTATCACAAAAATTGATAAGGGCGTGCTTCGGTGGTTTGGGCACGTTGAGCGAATGAGTGAAGACCGAATGGTGAAGAAAATATATAGCGCGAAAGTTAATATTAAAAGGTGTCGAGGTAGACCGAGACTAACTTTCGAAGACCATGTGAGCAAATTGCTCGAAGAGGGTAGGGTCAAGAGTACTCGGATACCTAGACGTGCATGCATGAAGAAGATAATGAATCTGAAAGAAGCGAAAGAGGTTTGTAAGGATCGTGACACTTGGCGATCTGTTCTCTCTGGCTACCCCGTCAGGGATTGTGCGTGAAGATAAGTAAACCGAATTTCGGTCAAGGCGGCCAGTTTCAACGAAGATTAGGCATCTGCGCAAGACAGAATTATGGTGCTCGATAGTCTGCACAGATGCACTCTCTATTCCTCACTCTCACAGCCATATAGGCAGTTTCATACGATTGGAGAGAGATCAGGCGCAGGAGCAACGGTTTCACATGTTTCCGAGGCCCGTGCTCCGGAGGACAAAACACTGCCAACGTTCTAGCTCCGGGCTGCTACTGAGAACTTTTTGACAGAAAAGCCTAAAAACTATTATTTGCCCGACTCTGAATTTGAACCCGAGATCACATAGTCAGTAGTTGCGCTTACAACCACTAAACCAACGAGGCAGCTCATATCGAATTATCGGGATACGGAGGAAGAGGGCCTCTTTCGTGTTATTGGACAAATTGCACACTATAAAAACACTACATTCGAACAAAACAAATTCCTAACAATAAGCTAAAATGTCAAAATGCTTATTTTATTATGATAATATGATGATGAAAATAATGATGATAGTGAAAGTGAAATGAGAATCAGAAATCTGGGAAAACCTACAAAATCACATTAACAAGACATTCAATCTTTACGTAGGTAGTAAAAATCTTAAGCAATTATAACAGAAACAGAAACGTTTTTATTCAATGTAGTTAATAAATAATACTTATTGAAAGTCACTCTTATGTTTAATTACCACTGGTTCGGAAAAAAAACCCTCTGTGATGGGAAGAACAAGCAAGAAACCCAGCGGGACTTTTTTATCATGTATGTTGTTACACAATTAACAACACATAGCAAATTAGAAATAGCCTGGTAGCGATCACCTCATTCCCAGGGGTTATTATCATCCATAAATTCCTTAATATTATAATAATCCTTTTTATACAAACTTAGTTTTTGAACTTTGAGCAGGTCAAATATTGTGTTTTCTGGGACTTTGTTGTAAAAGCAATTATTTTTACAATCATTATTTACATAAGTATCATAAGTACTGCTTTTTTTTTCAATAATAAGGGTGACAACAAACAAGCACACGGTCCACCCGATAATTAGTGATGCAGTGGACCACATAGACATACCTATTCACATTAAGAATCAAAGTTCAGTTGCATTGTCTCTCCTGAAGACTAAGACTAAGCATAAAATACCTCGTTTCCAGTCAGAAGGGCCTCACCATACGAAACATGTAGATGCATAAAGCTGCTTTTTACGCTGCTATTCTGTTAAAGTTTTGTCCTAGTCCGTGATGATGTTGTATTTACTTCTTTTTTTATCACCTTTAAAATTTCACTGCTGGATCAAGATTTCTCTCGTAGTAGGATACGCCTTAATCGCCGCGCTTGGTAGGTGAATAGGCGGTAGCAGTACCAGACATCTTGCACCTTTGCAATCACAACCTGTCGATATTAGTCTATGCATTTTACGTGTAGTGAAGACAGGATGGTTACACCGCCATCCATTGGAAACCATGGGGTATTACTAACGTTTCCAATGGTCCCTTCTTACGATACCCACGTGACGAAACTACTAGATCACTATGATGTAGTTCCTTGCACCGCCACCACACAGAATACTATCTATGCAGAATACACATTGAATAAAATTACTTTTATGTCAAATATATTTTATAGATCAAAACATCTTTGTTTTACGTATTCATCACGTTTAATTTTAGCTTATTTTAAATTCCGAACGTTTTACAGCAGTACAGAACGTTTTACAGTATTACAGCTTCTATGTTCAGGTTGTTGACGTTCTGTTTTCATTATTAACCACGACTACCTTCAGTTTACCAATCTTATTATTTTTATATAAGCTAACAAGTGATTTTTAATTGTATTTTTTTTAATATAGCACGTTATTTTATCATCCTTGCAGTGTTATCTGAATTAAAGCTGTATTCAAAATTTTAAGTTTACAACTCAAGGGACTCAAAGGGACTTAATGAAAACGTGGTAAAAAGCATACAGTTCCTTAAAATTTGGCTGTTTGTCGTGGAATTCAGTTATATCATTGTGATTGATTATGTTTTGCCATGTAATGGCGGCGCAAGAGAATCCCGCTTTTCATCACTTGGGTGTCGTAAAAGGCGACAGAGCGGCGAGAGAGACCTATGAAGTCTGCCAACTCGCACTGGGGGTCTATGCATAGTGCACAGATAAAGACAGGTGTAAAATTTTTACTTTAATTTGTTTATTATATTCGTAGAAATATTCGACGTGTAGAGGTGACGTAAAAGAATTCACTATCCCATATCATCCCGCAGGTGTCAGAAAACGCGAAAGAAGGAAATGAAACAGGAGATGGGCAGCAACATGTTCCTGAATACAACCCAAAATTATGAACTACTGCGGTTGCCGACCCGGCTGCAAAGCTTGATAACAATGGCAAATATCCCCCCTCAGAGGCAATCTATAGGGGAAGGCTATGTCTAGCAATAGATTATTATAAATTAATTAATAATAAATGAATGATTATTTTATAATATCTACGTACCATCAACATAAGGAACCCAGTTGTAGAAGCGTCCACGAAACGGCCTGTGGTCATAGGCCGCACATTGTTCAGCACGGCTGTCACGATTTCCGGCAGTACATGGCTGTTAAAAATATTTAACGTTTTTGTTGACCAGAAATAAAAGATTAGCGTTATTTTAGTTTTAATTTCAACTTTTTAGTTATAAATATGAAGTAACTAAACCACCTCCACCTGATTCCAAGTGGGTACTGCAGCTTATGTATACTCCTGCAACCATTGAGTTATATTATGTACTATGTACTAGAGAAGCCTTTCTAAACAAAAAATGTGTTCTACTTTATGTCTTCGCGCATACGCGGGAGATGTAAAGTCGCGCATGCGCAGTTGATTTAAGCGCGTTGCGCCTGCGCGGTCAACTTATATTATAAAGATATATATTTTTTCATGATGTTTTTCTTTTGTAATATTACGATATTATTACCTATTTATTCACTTGAACAACAAATAATTTTACTTACTTGACTACTGAATTGTTATTTACGTCCAGGTTTAAACTTTAATTTGGAATCATGTATTATTAGCGCCGCTCCACACTGCATGAATATTGAAACCACAGACTAACTAGTAGATTGAAAACACACGAAATGACACTGTACAGATTGCAGTACAGTTCAGTTGAACATAGTGTATGTTCGGAATGCGCAATCTAGTACGTAGTACATATATATCGATGCCTGCGACCAACTTTTAAAAAAGTAGGCTACAGATACCACCTAATACAATGTCACCTCTGAGGACTAAGAAGGAATGCAACACAGCCACAGTCTGTAATAATAGTAAATGGCTCTCTATACTCTTCCGTATTGGCTCTTTATATAAACATTGTAGTGGCGGTATTAGTATATCTCGTTTTTTGTATGGATGTTACATAATAATCCCGGTCCACTGATCAGTAGGTTGTACACCATTTTTTTTAAACTGCAGTGATAAACAAACTTACATCGTAAGTACAGCTAACTTCAAACAAAGAAGGTTACAGATACCTTGTAACCTCTGAGGATTAAGATGTTGTACGTCACAGCCTGTAATTATACTGATTCTCTATATCCTTCAGACCTGAACACGGCAGTACAAACACTAATATGTGGCGGCAGAAAGTTAGGTAAGACTGTTGTACCTACCATGCCGGACTCCTAGAAAGGAAGATAAATAGGTAAGAGGGTAATCATTCATCATCATTACAGCCACACGTCCACTGCTGAATGTAAGCCTCCCCCAAGGAATGCCACAAAGTACGGTCCCGAGCCACCTGCATCCATTGAATTCCTGCATGTCTTACCAGGTCGTCACTCCATCTAGTGGGGGGACGCCCTACACTTCGCCTGTCGGTACGAGGCTGCCCCTCGAGAGCCTTTGTTCCCCATCGGTAGTCGGGTCTTCGTGCTATATGGTCGGGGCATTTCCAGTTCAGCATACTAATTCTTTGGGCTATGTCAATTACTCTGGTTCTTCTGCGGATATCCTCGTTTTTAAGTCTATCACGCAGAAAAACGCATAGCATAGCCCTCTCCGTAGCTAGCTGAGCGACTTTGAGTTTCCTCATACGGCCAGCTGTGAAGGACCACGTCTCAGATCCACAGGTCATCACTGGCAACACGCACTGGTTGTGCAATCTAGTTTTGAGGTTTTGAGGTATGTCTAACAAGAAGATGTGTCGTATCCGTCGATTGAACTCTCGGTTGAAGTTGGACTTACTAGTAGGACTATTTGTCCCAGGTAAACATACTTGTCAACAACTTCGAGCTTAGTGCTCCCAACAACTACCGACATAGGTGTGACATGGACGTTGAATATGATTTTTGTTTTGTCCATGTTCATCTTAAAACCTATCCGTTGGTAGACACTATTGAGATCAAAGATCATAGTGGTTAGATTCTCCAGCGATTCTGCCATAAGGACTATATCGTCGCCAAATCGAAGGTGAGTGATGTACTCGCCATTGACGTCAATACGGTATCTTTTCCAGTCCAGTAGCTTGAAAACGTCTTCTAATGAAGCAGTGAAGAGTTTCGGGGATATTACGTCACCCTATTTTACACCTCTCTGCTTTTGTATAGGTTTAGTACTTTGGATCTGTACTCGGATAGCCATCGTAGCCCTATTGTACAAACACTTCGGCACTTCGATATACCGACAGTCAATGTGGCACCGCTGAAGGGACTGCAGCACCGCCTAAATTTCGACGGAATCAAATGCTTTCTCATAGTCCACATACGCAAGACAGTGGCAGATTGTACTCATTGGTCTTCTGTACAATTTGCCGAAGGGTATGTATGAGGTATATCGTGCTCGGAAACCGGCTTGTTTGGGAGCCTGGAAGTTGACAATTCTGCATGCAAGACGATTCGTAATGACTCTTCAAAACAGCACATAGATACGGCTCACAAGGGAAATCGGTCTGTAGTTCTTCAAGAGGGCGTTGTCGCCTTTCTTGAAGAACAAGACCACTGCAATTGTGCTCGAAGCCTCCGAAATAGTGCCACCATGGACGACGGACTTAAAGAGCTTCTGAAGGACTTCAAATACCGGTACTTGTAGTCCTTCAGAAGTTCTGACCGCCTGAAAACTGGTTATCTACCTGCTTTCAGAAACTCCGCTGTAATTCCATCCTCACCTAGGGCCTTGCCATTTTAAGGTCCTGGAGAGCCATTCTAATCTCGCTCATACTGACGTCCGGAATATCCTCGGAATAGTGTCGGATAAGACTTGCTCTTGGATCGTTACACACACTTGCGTGTGACTCCAACGATTACGTGTACATCTGCTCATGGAACCTCTTAATCTCACTCAAAATCTCAGGTGTCACATTCGGTCTTCAGTTTCGACAGTTGGCTCTTTCTGGCAGACAGATCTCTGGCAAAGACTTTGGAGTCCTGGTTCCGCTCGCTCGCTTCTTCAATACGAGCAGTATTAAAGTTGCGTAAGTCCCGCCGCATGCATTTGGAGATCTGTCTGTTCTTTTACCTGTATGCCATCAAATCTACTGAAGACTGCAGCTTCATTTCCCGTCTAACAGCCATGAGATTAAGAGTGTAATCGGAGAGTTTTGTGTTCTTTTGCGGTGGGTCTTCTAAAACTTAGCTCCGACTGCATGGACAGTTTCCACGAGCTTGTCATTTATATCTTCCACAGTGCATTGCAATCTTTTAGGTACTGAAAACGGTTTTGTAACTCGACCTGAATGGTTTTGAGACTTTAGATTAGAGCACGAAGGGGACAGAGCGTTGACCTCATTAGACGACACCTTTCCAATTTAACGTTTAGGTTCAGTGTGCCTCTAACCATTCGATGATCGCTACCAGTTTTCACCCTCGCAATCACCGAAACATCACTGAACAGTTGCCGTCTAATCATCAAAACGTCTCTAAAAAAAAAGATTGACGTCATAATGAAGTCAATCACCTTTTTTGTCGAACCGTCAGGACTCGACCAGGTCTACTTCCTGTGGGGCCGCTTCTGGAAGAAAGAGTTCATCATGAAGAGTGCCTCTTTCTCCATGAAGTCGATCAGCTGCTGGCCGTTTGGGTTCCGTTGCCCTAGTCCGAATTTCCCTCACCTCACCGTTCACATTCAGCTCACCGTTCTCTTTTGTGGCTAGTTTTGCGTTGAAGGGTTTTGGTAAGAGGGTATCCCAATAAATTTATGTGATATTACCTTTTAAATTAACGTGTTAAATCTTAAAACTCTGTAGCTTGAAATATCAAAATGACGCACTTTCATCTTATCTATTTTTTATAGATTCCATCACAGTAACTATATCATCATCATAGTAAATATAGTGTTATAAGTGTATATGATTACAAACTTTATTCCCATATGTTTAATCAATCAATTAAGTTAATAGTAAAAAGAAACTTTTTTTAAAACAAGTTTTTATTTAAATGCGCTAAAAAGAATAAAATAAACTTTTCCTTTAAAACTTTTACTATCAACTTATAACGCCATTACACAATTTATATGATATAAAAGTTTGTCGCGAGAATAAGTTTCTACTCATTTCTACTTACTCGTATTTGCTTAGTTTGAAAATTTTAAAAATTAATATCAATTAGATCCTGTTTATCTACACAGGTAAGTCTCGCGACAAGCTTTTATATTATATAAATTGTGTAATGACGTTATAATTTGATAGTAAAAGTTTTAAAGGAAAAGTTTATTTTATTCTTTTTAGCGCATATAAATAAAAGCTTGTTTTATCAAAAGTTTTGATTCCGCCTGCGCCGGTGCTCTCGAGTGACGTATGTTCAGGTTGTCCGGGCGCGCTAACGTCCCTACGTTAGTGCCCTTTCCGCGCCATATAAAACGATCCGCTCTTTGAGAATGTCCACCCAAGACCTAAAAGATTCCCTCCTCGACGCCATCAATCGGATGGACGATCCGCAGGCACTCGCCGCAGCCCTGGCCATTTTGGCTACTCCCGAGGCAAACGTACCGCCGCCCGTTATCGCGGCCCACTTAAAATCCTAAAACTCGTTCTGGAACTGGATATGGAGTGCTCCTACTCCGACTCTGGGTCCTCTGTATCGGCCTCCCGGAAGAGGCTCGCCACTAAGTCTGGCACCAGGACATCGGAATCCTCTGACTCCAACGGTTCCGGTGATTCCTCATACACAACGGTTACGTCAAAGCGCGGCGTAAAACGCGCCGTGAAAAACTGCACCCCCCCCCCCCCCCCCGCCTCAGTGGCCCTTGCCGCTCCCCCACCCTCGCAGCCCCCGCCGCTGCTGCACCTCCCGCAGCTATCGCTGCCGCATCTTCCCCCGCAGCCCCCGCCGCTGCCCCGGCCCCCCTTATGTCGCTAGACATCCCAGCGCCTACTAAGCCAGCCTCTCGCTGCGCTCCCGTACTTGCAAAGAAGCAAGTCCCGCCCCCTTTCTTTTTAAAAGACAAGACAGAATTTACCAGATATAAAGTACGACCAAGCTACCAACATGGGTGTAGCGATTAAAATAGTCCCACAGTCTATTGACGACTTTCGACGCCTTACAAGGCTCTTCCGGAAGAGCGTAAAGTCAGGGCCGTCATCCGAGGCGTCCCGTTTGAACTCTCAAACGAGAAAAT